GGAAAAAAAACCCACAAATTAAATGAGTCCTACCTACCTTAGTCCTGGAAAACCTCGTCAAAGTAAAATGCAGATCTTCTGGAAAGCTCACTTTAAATATTTTGTATACTACTTACTGAAAAAATAAGAATAATCCTATTGGCAAATTCAAAGGGAATCTGCTCAAACCACAAACAGTCTTTCTGAGAAGAAAAGAATCCCAAACCTGCTATTCTCTAATGCTTTATATTAGCACCAGTAAAATCGTTTGTAACAGTTAAAAACACAAAGTAAACAAAGTTAATTTGTTTTCCTTATGATAGTGCTTCTTCAAATACTCAGCAGGATAAATCAAAACTTTCAAATTTTGCTTACAAATAAGCTTTGTTAATAGCAGTATTGTGTTTAATCTGCATATAATTTTTGAGGCAATTTAATTTTGCATTAGGACAGCCTGTTGCATAGGCAAGATTGATTAGGTTTTCACTATTTTTTATTCTCAAAGTTTTGTAAAAGTTCTTTGATGTTTTGAAATTATCTTTGATATTTATCAGTTCTTTCTATGTAGAGTTGGTCAACTCAGCTTCAGTACAGGTGTAATATCTAAAAGTATGACATAAATGATGAAGTTGAAGAAAATTTCTAAACCTCCACTTTTAGTTTGGATCTGGTGTAAATCATGGCCTACTGGAAAGCAGCTCTACAAACTAGCCATGAGTCCTGCCCAAGAAGTACTGCTATTGCAGGGCTGGCGGGTGTTGATTTCTCTTACTTCTGTATTTCTCTCTGGCTGTACGCATCTTCAGTCGCTGGGACACAGGGGCTGAGGCGCAAGAGAGGGAAATCTCTCTTAGCTGTTCCTCTGTGGTGGTGATCTTCAGACCCAAAATGACATTGAATCTGGACCTCCCGCTGACTGCACGCACATGCACTGTGATGTCCAAGTGAGTGGTTACAACTACTTGCCCTGTTAGTGAACGCAGGGAGTGACGGCTGCTGTCCTCTGCGCTCACCTCGGTGACGTCAGGTGAAGACTGGACATGCTTACTATCACCTCTCTTTACGTTGCTGCTTGTGTTTAGGTACCTATTTATGGTTTGACAGCAGTAATATAAAGAGTATGTAAATGCCAAAGCTGAGGGACTGGGGTGACTACTCTGAGTAGTCAAAGTGGCTCTAGTGTCTAGACACCGTTCGGCAGACACAGTATAGTCATGTAAGGGAAGTGCTGCA